TGATCATGTTAAGAACATCATGTGCTGAGAGACCTTTGAACGGTACCGCTTCCTCCATGTCGTTCATCTGCGGCTCAATGTCCCCTCCCAGCTTGGCTCGCTGAACAAAATCCTCCCAGCCATGCAGGGCACGCTCGTACAGAGCAGCACCAGCAGGGTTGCGCACAAAGGATGAATAATATCCCCTCTTCATCTCTCTAGCTGGCGGACGAATACGTCCACGGTCAACCTCGGTTTCGGATTCATCCGTCTGCGAGACAACGAGTTAATCCAGTCTCCTTCACAAGTCAGATATGTTCGGAATGACTAACCTCAGTATGTTCATCATCCTCTGCAGCACGACGGCCCTCGACGAATGCCATGTACGCCCCCTGACTTGCAAGAAGATGTTCGTGTTGAATTTCACGCGCTTTCCTCTGTATGATATGGCGCTTAGCATCTGAATCTCCTGAGGAATGCGAACAAAGCGGCAAGAACTTACCCGAAATTGTATCTCAAGATTCTCCTTCTCAAGAGCAAGAACCCGATTCGCATTTGCTACCTTATATTCGTATTCTTGGCGCAATATTTCCCTGTGTCTCTCTAATCTCTCCTGTAGTTGCCGGTTGACCTCGTCAAACTCCGGCACTTTCTTATGGGCGTTCTTATCCCGCGCAAGCTTGCGCTGAGAATGCTCGGCTAGCACAGACAAAGCCAGTCGCTGGGCGGCTGCTACCTTCTTGAACGCCTTGTCAAGTTCCCTTTGGCGGTCCCGCATCTTCTGTGTGGCTGGAGTCGGAGAAGGAGAACGCAGAGGCTCGGGTTCTGGCCCAGAATCCTGGTCATTGTCGCCATCCGCTTTGCGCGCCCGTTTTCTACTTTTACCCTTTCCCTTTCCTTTGCCTGGTCCTTTGGATTTTCCTTTCCCTTTCTGCACTCCCCCGCCGCGCGTGGAGGCTCCCATGCTGCCGCCTCCACGGCCACGGCCACGACCCCGGCCCCGTCCACTGCTGACCGTAAATTCGACACCGTTTTCAGAAGCTGGTTCTTCAACTTCTTCTGTTATTTGACGAGACTCATCACCTGCCGCCGATTCTCTAGCAGCAGTGGTATCATTGTCTGCAGCATCAGCAACATCAATACTCCCATCGCTAGCATTGACAGCGGAGAACCCAGAAATTTCAGCATCCTTAGCATCCTGAGCATCGGGAATATCGGGAATATCGGGAATATCGGCGGCGGCAGCAACGGATATAGTAGCTCGGGCTTTGAGAGTATCATTCTCGGAGGCTTCGACCTCGCCCTCGGCAGAAATAGCATCTCCGTCGCCAGGGGACTGGGACTGGGGTGCTGCTTTGTCATCAACGTTATTCTCGGTGCCTTCCTGTAACTGCTGGTCCAATGCGCGGTCCAGCTCTGGGTTCTCCACTTTCGGCCTCTTACGTGGGGAATTAGAAGAGCGCATGAGCTCCCCAGCGAGGCCGTCATCGGGCTCTGGAGACTTCCGTTTTAGTGACTTTGGTGGGACAGTCATGGATTCGTGCTTTTCCTCACTTTCCATGTCTGAGGGTTCGTTCACGTTGTTCTCGATGTCATCAGGACCGTTGTCCTTCGACAAATCCTCATCAACCAGTTCAGACATCTGATCTTTTGTGGATAGCTGCGAAGCAACGGTATCCAGAGGGCTGATGTTCTCTTCGTTTCTTGTCGCATTCTTTTTCGAGGGAGAGGAAGTGATTCTTGTTGAGTCGCCGGTTTTCCGGTTAAGGCTGCTGACCATTTGTCTGCTCCGTGCCCGTGTCCGGCCACCAGGAGCCATGCCGGCGGATGGGCTGCCATCAGGGTGTCTGACCTCAGCTTGAGAGTTAGAGAAAGTTTTTTCGGTGGAACTAAGGGGTTGGAGATTGCCCCTAAGTCTCGCAGACTGCCTCGTCGTCCTCGGCGTCTCTTCAACGGTAGGAGCTCGTTTGACGCGCTTGTGCCGGGGGGTCTCTGGAACATTCGCCGATGCTACGCTGTCGGCCGCAGCTGGAGCTGGAGCAGAGGGGGGCGCGGGCGCAGAGGGCACAGCAGGGCCAGCTGCGGCCGCAGCAGCAGCGCGTGCTCGAGAGGTGCGAGTCTCACGGACAGGGTTGGCAGTGTTGGTAGCAGTATCGGCTGCGGGAGAATTGCTTGCTTGAGCTTCGCGGAGACTGTTGGCCTGAGCCTGACGGGCACTATTGGCTCTAGCAGTGCGGGTGCTCAGCGTAATAATGCGTGACGGGCGACCATTATTGAGATTGTTGTGAGTGGTATTGTTAGTAGACGATGGGGTGCTCGGAATGTTCATATTATGAGCACGAGCATCTCGGCTAGCCCGAGCGCTCCTGGTGATACGAATGTTGGAGTTGTCCTCCATGAGAGGATCTATAGAAAAATCAGAAATCGGCACCGTCAGGATTGAACAGCCAAGCCCTTACCAGCTGAGGTGGTCATGTTCCCTGCGGATGTAGCGCCAGTGCCAGGCGTCGCTCCCTGAGAAACTTCGACTTTACGCTTGGCACCCGCCATCTCTGTCTGCTAGGTATTGATCAGTGACCGACACTTTTCAGTTTAATATGAACCGGAGCAAACGGAGAGAAAACGCGGATATAAGCGGGCTGCTGGGTCTAGGAAACAAGGGGGGAAAGCTCAAAAGCATGGTCTGAAGTGAGTTCGATAAAAAGCGAGGGTATCGAGACACTAAGCTGCCAACGAAGCAAGAGGTTTTCCAGAGCAGCCATTCGGAAGAACAATGAATAAAATGAGCACATATGAAGACCGATGCGAAAGAGACGGAAATTTTCGGGAGATCCAATCTATACCAGAATTCCGATAGAGGAAAGGATGGCTAAAGTGCATTGAAATTCTACCACGGCAAGGCAGACCGTGCAAAAACAAGCACTGAAGAGATGCAGGGATACAAGGATGGGGTGAATAACAAAGGGGGGCTAATGAGAAAAAGCAAGAGGAAAGATACAGAGTAAGGATTACAAGAGGACTTCGCGAACTTACCTGGCGTAACAATCAGTAGAAGCAAGGTGGGCTGGCGATGAAGTCGACTGCTGATCAAATATCGTGTCGTGATAGTAAGTGCAGAAGGTAATAATAGATAGTACTCCGTAGATGGTCAAAGTGTACTCAGTAGTAGGGGCGATGATCGTAGTTGTGGTAATAGCAGGTAAGGTGATGGGTACACTGTGGGTAAGGTAGATAGCAGCAATGCCAGTATGTAGTAAGGTAGTAATAGGAGGAGGATGAGGAGGAGGAGGTAATAGCAGAAGCAAATGTAGGTAGTAATAGTAGATCGATGATAGTATAGATAGATAGTAGTAGTAGTAGTAGTAGTAGTAGTAGTAGTAGTAGTAGTAGTAGGATGGGGAAGAACAAAGTAAAAGCGAGGTGCGGCCAAGTGGATCAACAGTGGAAGTGGGAAAAAGTAAAGATGGCGTTGGTTTGTGGTTGGTTAAGCTTGCTGTGTGTGCTTGGGGGAGTCTCGCCGGAACTAGCAGGGTACGTCTTTTGTATGGAGTACTCCCGAAGTCCGGCCTGGACACAACGACCTCTCGAGGATGGCGACGAAATGATAGAAAGAGGATGGACGAGATGACGAGAATGAAGGCACAATTAATGAACAAAAGAAGTTAAGAAAAAGAGAGCGAGAGAGAGGTGAGATAAAAGTGAGATGGGGCTGGTGTGAGAAAGCTCAACTCAAGTGGAAAATCCACCGAGGCAGTCTTGGATCTCCAATGTCTTAGAGAAGTAGTAATAATGAATAGTAGATAGTAGACAGTAAGGTACTGCCTAAATGCAAGGCAAGACGTTGTTGATCACCATGTGCGGCCCGTCAAATTCCAGTCAGGCACTTAGCACGATGTAGTTGCATCAAAGGCAGATTTTTGTTATTGGTCTTTGCACAGACCACAATAGCAATATTCTCTGCCTGGAAGAAATAAAATGATGGATCCAAATGCAATTCAGAGAAGAAGGATCCAACAAATTCGAGTCATTGAATCAAACGGTATGAGGAGGATGAGTGTGTTCCAGTGCTGTAGGAAGATAGAGAGACCTGTAGACTACCTAGTTGTAGTTATTTGGATGGAGGAATTTGACTGGGTCAGAGCGAGAGTGGAGTGGCGCAACGGTTGGAGAGTGGAAGTATGTATGGCAGCAAAGATACCATAGCAAAATTGCCCAAACACTCAGTCAGGAAATCTATGGAGAGAAGGATAAGGATAAAAGGATGACTGATGATAATAATCATAATAAGGGAATAGAAAATGAAGGAAAGAAAGAAAGAAAAAGAACTAAAGCTGATGGAATAAACACTGCAAGGGCGAGCAGTCAGGACTATTGATGAAGCTAAACGCATGCATTGGAATGAGCATGAACACATTCTACAATTAAATTGAAACTGATTCAGAGTTCTATGATATGAAAATAGTAGGCTTTTCATGTTTGAATGAGTATATCTCCGCAAGGGAGAAGAAGAAATCTCCATCAATCCCCCCAAGGCTCTTCCTAGATCCAGGTTTAGCTCTACCTATCTATACAGTAACAACCCACCATATGAGCATCAAATATCAATGCAGCATTCAGATAATGAGATATCCATTGTTCAATGGAGTTTACTTCATAATCAATATGCCATCCCGGTCCAAGCTACATGTCTGGCTACTTAGCTTCTCACGTTCTCTTCTTGTTTGGTCACTGCGGCTGGGCTCAGGTAACCAAGCATAACAAGATGGCTGGAAGTCAATTTTAGAAGACTGAAAGCATCGGTATAAGGGTAACCGGATTCCGGGAAATGACTCGGATGGACTGGACTCTATTCTTATGTTTTATACAGCTTCTATGTACATAATTGAAGATTCGAAAACGCAAGTTCTGATTGCACCTGTATAGCAAAATACCCTGTTCCCGAGATATATGGCAAACCGACTCAGTCAAAAAGGACAAATGAAAAAGGTCATTAGAGAGCATTTCCAGTAAAAATCGTCATACTAGCTCTCGTCTGGAGATTCATTCAATTCATACCTCTTCTCATACCAGGCGATGCTCTTGCGCACATCCGCAGCCATGAGGAATCCAGGTATCGCCGACCCTTCAGCTAATCTGCCTTGGCTCTCACGACTTGCATTTGGCTTTTGCTCCTCCGTCGTCTCGCCTTGCTGATTTATCCGCTCGAACAGTGGGGACTTGCTTCGTGGTCCGTGAGCTCGAAGGGAATTAGCCGATCTCATCCGATTCAACGTCTTGACCGAGATCGTCTGCCCGGCCACGGCTGACGCATGGAGATTTGTTCCGGGCAAAGGCGTCGGCGGTGGCGATGGGCTATCGGAACGAAACAATGGGTGGATATTGCTCTCGTCAGGTACGTGCAGCTTTGGAGGGGCAGGCGCTCGGGAAGCCTCTAGCTTAGTCGTCGATGCGGCCGGAGATGGCGTGCCTGATGATGGCTGAAGCATCAAACTGTCCAAAGACCTCTTGATCTCGGATGGGGTCCCCTGGATTATGCGCGGCCCTTGCCGCTCCTTGGTGGTTATGCTGGAGCTGTCCCTTTCAACCTGCCTCGTTTCTAATCGGTTGCGGGAAGTGTTGGAATCAGGGGACGGCATACCCAGCCCTGGTGATTGAAGATCGAGTGAATTGTGCTTAGAGTCTTGTTGAAATAGAGTCCTTCCAGAATAGCGGTGAGAGGACGCGGTTGAGGTAGCGGGCTGGCTTGGGAAAAGACTGCTATCGCAGCTCGTTTTTCGATCAATAGATTGTCGTCTCGATTCAATCGTCAATGCTGGTTCATTGGCCGCGCTTTTATCCTTCAGGCTCGACTGGTCTGGTTGCAGCACAAGCTCCTGCGAGAGCGAGCCCGGACATTGGTTGTGGGAGTTGTCAATCAAAAGAAAACCAGCAAACAGCCCTTGGCTTAACACAGCCAACGTCCATATCACAGACCTGAATATGTATAGTTCCAGCTGGCTGGGACGTGTCCTCGTTCCTTTCCCCCTTTCCCCGAGTCTTGAGGTGCTCCACGCGACGGCGCCAGCTGTGACGCCGCTGGATATTGCAAGATATGCAAAAATGAGGCCGTACGCTATAGTCCGCCACTTTTCCCAACGGTCTATAGACCGAAGCCAAATGTTCTTTCTCCATAAAAGTATCAAAATAACCAACACCACACAGCTAGCGGCGCTGAGTGTGACAGTGGTCGATTCGATTGACGAGGCTCCTGATGAAGCAAGACAGACGCCGTTGAGGACGCTAGCGACCAAGTTCAACGCAATAGAAATACCTCCCAGAAGATAGGCCAGCTCGGCCGCATGCATATTGGGCCCTGCAGGTGCTCTTACGCAATCAACCAGCAGCAACAACTAACAAGAGATCCAGCTGCACGTTGGAGATGCGAGGGGTACCGGCGTGGAGTTGAATGCACTGTTGATTTGATGCAGTCCACTTAGGGCGTCCGAATAGTAGGAGGATTTCAAAGAGACAGCAGAATCGTATATGAGAAAAAGGGGGGAGGAGTAACCAAGTTCTCTCGCGAGTTTATGAGGGAATGGTAACAAAATGTGTCATATCATCAATCGTGTCAACAGCATAAGAAGAAGCAGTGAGATTATGGGTATTATGAGCGCTGCCTCCTAGAAGTGAAAAGTCAACAGTAAAGCAGGCTACAACAACCACAACAACGACAATGGGATGAGGAGAAGTAGTATGAGGGGCCCTGTGGTGTAACAAGCATTGGGGTGAGCTCAGAACCAACTGGACATGAGGGAAGAGACGGGTAAATATGCATCATCCCGGGGGGCAAGACTCCATAGATCCTAAATTATCTGTCTACCGGAATAAGAATGGCTCATCAACGGGGGGAAGAGTTCCCCCGAACCTTGGGATTTGGGATAGATAGAATCAGTGCTTCGATGGCTTGTCTCGATGAAGTTATGGGCAGGGGGTGGCAGGATCTTTAGCCAGTCTCGTTCAGGCATCTGTGGGTTTGAAGCTGTCAAATAGCACTCCTGCTTCATCACAGAATAGCGATGGACAATACAGGATGGATACTGTCACTGTCAGAAATCGAATGTCCAGAGTAGGAGGGAAAAACAAGAGATCTTCAGAGTCCCACCCTTCTATGCGCGTTGAGTTGTTTCTCCAGCAGATCAATCCAGCCCACACCCCATTGCATACCTTCGTCCGAATACTTTTTTTTCTTTCCTTTTTGTCGAGAACGCCATCCGGTATTACATAGTGAAAATGACTTGTCCTCTGTGTGTGTTCATGGGATTATTTAGACAGGCAGGGAACGCCGGTCCTGAGAACCCGACTATCGAATGTTCATGGATTCAGATCTCCTGAGCTGACTCTAAAAGTAGTCCTTGGCCAATTAGGATTAGCTCTGAGATGTCCAGAAAACAAGATTCTGTTTTCGTGCATGGAACTCCAACAAAATTATTATTTTGTCAAGGTTCGTCAACACGCTAGACGAAGCGGCCGGGGGGATCTCCAGGATTCCGGGACGGCCCTATCTACAATGTGGAATCGTCCGAGTTGGTTATTTGGTATCAAGATGGAGTACGTAGATGCCGCTAGGAATAAACCCCCGGTCGAAATGTGATGCCTCGCGGTTCTCGCCTCACATCTTCTGGGATGTTTCAGTTGTCAAAAACGTAATACCTATCCGAATCAACAACTACTATTCTAAAGAGTTAACTAACGAAGTCTATCAGTCGTTTGCGGAGAACAAGATACAGCGGGTAGAGATTTCATTAGAATGTCGGATTACACTCGGAAGTTGCGTAAATGTAAGAGTAACTTCCAGTATGCGTACTATGTTTTAGCTAGTCCCAGAAGATAGGATCACAGCCTCCTCAGTCTCCGGCTTGTGGGCTCTCCAGCGCTGAACTATGTGATAGATCTATAAGATACATCCAACCAGTGCTTTGACCTTTTTCCGCATACCCTTCCGCCCACAGATTAGATCTACGTATTGTGGATTCTAAAAGGCGATTATACATCTACGGGGTAGTTCGTTAGTTTTGGTGGAAGAATGGCCTTGTTTGCAATGGTACTTCTGTATAGAGTGGAAGGTACGAGGTGGATAGGCATTGTCGCATTGGTTACGGAGTACTCCGTATCTTCGCTGTATCCTTGAGGGCGGCCTGCTAGTCTTCTCTATTATTAAATTGCTTCTGCTCGCAGCTCTCCACCTTGCAGCTCTCGTCCATTAGTCTAGATTCTTCTTAAGGCTCAGCAAGCCGTGCTGCAACTATACCTTTTGCTTTCGTTTCACATGTACTACATCTGCTTGCTCCTGCTCTGATCTGATCCAAAACATTCGATATCTCTGCTGGTTACTACATGACAGAGGTAGTCAATCGAGCATTTTATATGTCGCATGAGCTTTGATTGTAGGTTTGTTTCGTGACAAAATGTAGTAGTTGAGCCCATGACTCCCATGAGAACCAATAGACTGTGTCTACCTACGCTACAATCATCCACTTCCGATGATATATATCGATGCAGAGAGTATTATTGCGTTTGAGTAGACCGTGCCCTGATAGAACAACCCGGAGACTCAAAAACCAGCGGATACCTCTATGAGTTATACATACTCTGTAATTCCACTGTCTGATTACGGATCTAATTGGCTTTCATTGAAAAAAGGATAGATGGTAGTAAACTAACCATCGGGGGTCAAAAGTATCCAGACATTCCGCGTTTCCGCGACGCGTCAAAAAATCAACATTATCTTCAACCATCTACTATTCCACCAAAATGAGGTCTTTTAGGACCAAAATTAGTGGAAATAGAAGGCCTAAAGCTGAGCTTTCTAGTGAGGCAGGCGCAGCTATTTTATATAGCCTAGAGAATTAGGGATCACCTACTTAGCTAGCAAAGGAATTTAGTGTTAGTTATAGCACTATTTATATAACTAAAGAACACTTCCAACACTATAAAACCCTGAAATTAAGGCCTTGAATAGGTAGACCCTAAAAGCTTAGTCCCTCTGCTAAGTATTACATCTATCAGATGGTCCACTAGAGCCTCTCTATGAGCTAGAAGGCCTTGGTTATATACTCACCTGGGGGGGTCTCTAAGTTAACTATTTAATATATTTTAAGGAGATATCACCTTAAGAAGTAGAAGAGTAAGAAAAGGATCCCTTTAAAGCCTGATATAGTCAAGAAACAGTATAAATTTATATATATATAGCTTGATTTTCCTCACTGGGAGGAAGTACTATTTTCTAATAAATATTCTATCTAAAGAAAGCTAAATAATTCCACCTAATTTATCTTCTGATTCTTAAATAAGGCATACTGGCATGATCTAGTCAACTTAATAAATTATAAGAAGGATATTTCACAAATAATATAGGGTGCAATCTGGATTGGGGGCTATATAAAGCTAGTGATTATGGATTGTGATGAATTAGCTCCCTAAGGGGGGTATTCTACTAATTCTTATCTAAAATACCTTAAAGATGGCCTCCTTCCAATCTATAAACCTGGCCAGATCTTCTAGTAAGATAATACCAAAATCCATACCTCTTACCAGGCGCAGGAGTAGTTTAAATCTTATAGAATCTAGGTTATAGAATGGCCTCTATATTCACCTAATTTAAATCTAATTAAACACCTCTAGAACCTCCTAAAGAAGAAGCTTTTACAGCTCTATCCTAGCCTCTTCTTAGGAGGCAGATCCAAGGTAGATTAGACCTAATTTCATAAGGCTATTATAGAGGCATGGGATGCTATCCCTCAGGAGAAGATTAATAGTCTGATTTGCTCAATGCCACATAGATTACGTGTAGTTTACCAGGCAAAGGGATGGTATACTAAATATTAATATCTACTATCCCCTAGTTTATTCTTATGTACTAGAATAGTATGGTGGTTGAGAAATATGGGATTGAAAATGGTCAGATTTTTCGATTTTTTAGAGTGTCCGGATACTTTTGACCCCTTAGTTTACTAATACTCTAATGGCGTTGGGTTCCTGACAGCGTGGGCTCATAGATCTGGGCCGCCAATGACAGGACACGGAAATGACTAAGCACTGTGGCTGAAGCACTGACACAGACTGTGGCTGGACGGCAACTGAATAAGTGAATGTGGCGCATGAAGCCGTGACCGCCCCCAGCTCTCCCACTTCCCATTTCCATGCTTCTTGGGCGTCATGATTATGGTCATCAATCTTTCCCACTTCTCGAATCCACCTTGTTTTCTCTTTTACGCCCTCTGATTTTGCTGGGTTAGCTATATCAATAACCCACTCAACTACCTTACAGCCCCTGCTACGGATACCTGATACTTTACGACCCCGTACCCCTCTATTTCCAGCTACTTCAAACTCCTCCCCACCTCTCGTAGCCATCTCCTCTCCTTCGCTGGCGCAAGATGAAGCTCACATTCAAGGTACCTTCTGCAACAACCCACTCCTGCCTGTTGATATATTTGGGCTATAAAATACTGACCGCGGCCTCTTCCCAATAGGATCTCAAACAGCAGAAATTCGTAATTGATGCAGAGCCCTCTGAGACGGTGAGCTTTTGTCCCTGCGCGAGTGTTCTGCCAGTGCGGGGCTGACCAGAATCTTTCCTAGGTCGGACAAGTAAAGGAAAAAATTTCCAAGGAAAAAGGATGGGAGGTACCTCAGCTCAAGCTCATCTATTCCGGTTAGTCTGACAATGATCACCCTGGGTTTCATCGTTTCTCAAGTATCTGCTGGAATGGCACATTCGATTTTTTTTTTGTCTCCTTTTCCCCTGCTATTTCTTAGCTGATTCCGCTGACGCTTCGCTGGATAACTCGCAGGGAAAATCCTCCAAGATGACAAGACCATCGAGACATACAACATTGAGGAGAAGGGCTTCATAGTATGCATGGTATCGAAGGTATGACTCTGGTCTTGCTATTAAAACGACTTCTGAGCACTGCATCTGACCGTACCATCTTCTGTAGCCCAAGGCTCCCTCGTCTGCCGCTACACCTTCACAGGCCCCTTCTACACCTTCGAGAGCTGCTGCCTCCACTCCTGCTGCCCCATCTGCTCCGGCCCCGTCTGCTGCCCCTTCTGCTCCGGCTATACCTGCGACGCCCTCACCCGCCGCTCCGGCTCAGGCACCCGCCGATGCCTCTGCTGCGTTCAATGACCCGTCCGCATTGCTGAGTGGCTCCCAGAGTGAGGCTGTCGTCAGTCAAATGGAGAGCATGGGCTTCCCCAGAAGCGATATCAACCGTGCCATGAGAGCAGCTTTCTTCAACCCCGATCGTGCTATTGAGTATCTATTGAATGTGAGCTGTCGCCTGCTGTACTCCACGTGCGCTTCGTATGACTATTGCTAATTCCCTATTATAGGGAATCCCGGACAACATCCAACAGGAGCAGCAGCAACAGGCTGCCGCAGCCGCCGCACCCCCTGCCCCGTCCGCTCCTTCCAGAGAGAGTGCTCCCTCGTCGACCGGTGGTGATGAGCCAGTGAATTTGTTTGAAGCCGCTGCTCAGGCCGGCACTGGAGAGGGCGCTGGTCGTGGAGCTCGTGCCGGTGCTGCCGGAGCTGGGGAAGGACTGCCCAACCTCGACTTCTTGCGGAATAACCCTCACTTTCAGCAGCTCCGCCAGTTGGTCCAGCAACAGCCGCAGATGCTGGAACCCATCCTTCAGCAAGTCGCCGCTGGTAACCCTCAGATTGCACAGCTCATTGGTCAGAATGAGGAGCAGTTCCTCCAGCTCTTGAGTGAAGAGGATGATGGCGCGTTGCCTCCAGGTACCCACGCAATCAGCGTTACAGAGGAGGAGAGAGACGCCATTGAACGCGTACGTACCTCCTCATACTGATACTGCTACTATTATATTTCAAGCTAACTGGTTGTCAGCTCTGCCGGCTTGGTTTCTCTCGAGACCTGGTCATCCAGGCCTACTTTGCCTGTGACAAGAACGAAGAGCTCGCAGCCAATTACCTCTTTGAGAACCCTGATGATCCTGACGACCTGTGATGAACTGCTTTCCTTTGCTTTTGTTTGAGGCTCCTCGTCTACTGGTTGCCTGCCAATCTACTCGAGTTGATTCTCCTCGCCTAACGAATTTTAGCATGAACGTCTCTGACTCTTGTACGAAACCGATTTTGTTTAAATCGGGCTTCGTGCAAGCTTTCTTTTATCATTTCCCTGTCACTTCACTTGCGTGTGTTTTTTCTATGTCGAAACAGCTGCCCTAGTGAATGAAATTGGGATCTCGATGCTTCAACGTATGATATCTACCTTCTTATTCAAACGTGACGCGTGGGTCATGTACCTATCAATGAGACGCATTGGGTCATGTTGAGATGTGTTCTATTTCTTTCTCTCGCCTTTATTCCACCGGCATGACGAGGTTTGGCAACCGGATCAAGTCGCCGATTGCAGAGAAACATAGGGATGAAGACGTAAGCAAACGATGTCCTTTGCGGATAGAATGGTCACCAGGTACATTTGACTGTAGATCTTGCGACGAGCTGTTACAGGGAGAACTGTTCAATCCCTTCGAAGAAGGGAAATCTGAGGCAAGCGAGGGTTGTCAATTGTGACACGCCAATAAACAAGTAGTGGCTCTTTTTGCTTTGGCCGTTTAATCTGGCATCCCGTTCATTTGACTAGTCATTAATTATGATAATACTATATTGCGATGAGGGGTATAAACGAAATACGAGGGACATATTTTGTACGGGTATATTTGACGCTGGGAAAGGGGTATCCGAAAGTCTCATCCCTGAAGGAAAGGATGTCGAGTAGAATGCGTGTCGACTGACTCGCTGTAAAAGGGGAATGGAACGGCCCGCAAAAGCACATATTATGCTTGTTTATAGACGTTCAGATGTTCAATTGAGCCAAGGACGAAGGCAGATGGGAATCGGAAGGGAAATAAGGTGGCGGGTGAGGGTTCAATCGCAGCCTGTCCTTTGTGCTAACCAGACATTCAGTCCACGTCTGCCAAAGACGCGTTTTAATGTCGCAAGCAGCCCGTCGCTACCGACATCGAGATCATCCAGGTTGATGTGTTTTGGATAGGAATAGAGCTCCTGTAATTTCAGACCTGATGAGCCTGCTGGCGCTGTTGTGTATCGGTCGAGGTATGTAGCAGATTTTGGGGCGACCACGAACACGAAGTTCGTTCGATCAGCTTCCCCAGATCCGGCGCTGGCATCGCCGGTTTGAGTCTCGCCATGGGAGCCACATGGCGGCACCAACTTCTCGAGTTCCTGGGCCATCTCTGCTCCGGGAATGCCCATCATATCGCGGGTATCAATATCTAGAGGGAGGTTGGTATTGTTTCCCAATAGCCACAATGGGGGAGAGTATGTTTTCCACCATAATACGGTCGCGGATACTCTGGGCTGATTTTCCAACGAGCCATTCGGCTTCACAGTGTTTGCTGAAATTATGGTTGGGATGGCCAGTTGCACGGGTACCACGCCACCCTGGTGGTAGACGCCCATCAAAAAGCCCAAAGCAGCATTGAAAATTACCCAGGCTACAAGGAACAGACGTGATTTGCGCAGGCGGAAGCAGCTAAGCAGGAGTGGCACACAGGGAATGAGAAAACGGGGCTCTTGATGCGGGAAGATCGAGAGCATTGCGGTGCCTGACAGAGCGGAGGCGGCTTGCGTTGTCTTCAGCCAAGAAGGAATTGCTGGACGATTCCATAGGGACAGGACCATTGCCAACAACGCGGGTCCGAGAAGCTGCGGCAAGTTGACTAGAAAATGTTGGTAGTTTGGATGGAGTCCATGGAGAGCCAGATTCGACGTTTTCGTATTGTAGAGTAAATTATTGAGAGGTGAGATTATAGGCGAGCGGAGGGCATCGAGTACTGATGCAGATGGGCGATAAAACCTAGTGTCGACGATTATAGCAATGCAAGAGAAGAATAGGCCACAGAGAACGAAGACAAAGAATGAGGTCGGTCTGCGCCTCAGCATTAGTTGATCCGACAGTAGTCTGCCATCTGCGATGACGAGACTTACCTGCGCCAGAAATGTGGCAGTAATTGAAGCCCTGGAATCAAAAGAAAGGCTGGAAAGGTGATCCGGTTGAAAACGCCAGCGACAGCGATCAATGCGAGCACGACACAAGAAAAGACGGATGAGCGTCGCTATATAGAGCCATTAGCTCGGGAGGTTCATTACAATCTTCTCTGATGGTTCAAACCTTTTGTCCAACAATGCGGCGAATCAGCACCAGACCCCAGGTGACCAATAAAGTCTCAAGCGAGTTGGAGAAGGTGTGCGTCTGATATGTCCAGGTGACATACGAGGATGCAACCAGCACCACAGCGGCCCGGCGATGGCGCGGAAGAGGGACCAGCTCGTAGATGGCCCAGTCCTCCAAAACGAAACTTAAAAGGAACATGACCGCTCTCAAAATATAGTAAGCCACCTCCGGAGAGGGATTCCCTATCTCCAACTCCCCGTAAAACCATTTCAGAAGGCCCATCGGCAAGCTGTAAACCGGCCATAGCGGAAAGACGCTACGAATAGGATTCTCAGAGGTGAATTCCCACGGTAATTTGGACGGGTACGAAAGTGTGCGACCTAAGTATCCCGTCAGTTTGCAGATTGCGAAGCGCCGACTCTCAAGAGGGAAGGGGTTGTGCGCCGTTAAACCTCGCAAAGGGGAAGCGAGCAGATCAGCATCGTGATCGCGTTGCAGTAATGATCGCAGCGCTGTATTTACACAACTCGAGGAATTTAGGAGAACGACATACCCGCGAAGACCTCGGGGCCTTGGAAGTTCTCGTCTGGATGGAGATAACTTGGCGAGAGCGCAAAGTAGACTCGAACGAGTAATAGCAGCAAGTATGTCCGTCTCCACATGACTCAGATGTTAGAAACGCACGGTACGCTGGGATGAAGATAAGAATGATTCGACCGAAATAACAGTTCAGTTACATGCTGCTGCATCAGGAGGTTGAGGACAGAAAAACAGCGATCCGGAGCATCCGATAAGGCCTCGTATCTGGAAGACCGAAAGAGGACAGATACTAAGAATGACAAAGGGGATGGATGGGTTGGGTTGCTGATCAGACAGTCGCAATAAAATCTGTCAGAGGACGAGTAAACCAATAACAGAGCTTTGTCTAGGTGCACTACCACTCTCTTGATGTTTTTCTTTTTCCCACTCGATAAAAAGGCGGAGACGCGTCTGGTCGGGTGATGATATCATTGGTCCCGGAAAGAAAGCTTGTGACGATTTCCCTACACATGTCCGTATTGCGAGGATACTGACACGGAAGTAGAGTACTAGACAAAGGGCTCGTTATTGTATTGCTAATGCCATTTGTTCTTTGATTATCTCCTAACACCGGTCACTTGGACCAAGATCAGGAAAACTTGGGTGACATTCCCTAAATTGGAAGACACCATGAAGTATGAAAGCTGTCAGTCTCGCGATTTAGATTCATTTAAAATTAAACTAAAACAGTTTAGACATAAATGGGCTTGTAGCTCAGTGGTAGTAGCGCTCGCTTTGCATTGATAAAGGTGCAGGTCTTCAGACTAGAAATGCGAGAGGTCCGGGGTTCAATCCCCCGTGAGTCCATTTTTTTGTCCACATTTTTTGCCCTTTGTCTTATCTCTTATTTTTTTCCCCAATGCGTTGTAGGCGCTAAGTCGTTTATCTCTGGTAGTCCAAACAAGTCACATGACATCAAATTGGTAGGTATAATACCTGCCTTGCAAGCAGGTGGTCCGGGGTTCGATTTCCCGCGAGTCCAGACGACTTTTTGCCTCTATTGCTTGAGCTGGATGCTGTTCAAACCTGTGTCCTTTGTCTTATTTTCAGAAGAATCGACTCATTTGCTGCATATTTCCATTTTCTTTCTTGATACAGCAAACCTGCAGCTAACAGACCAGGTGTAGCCGGAATCTCACTACAGCCCTCAGATCTCAAGCCTTTTACTGGGTGCGAAATATCTGAGCTCAATGGCCATAATAGTAGGCTGCAAGAATCAGTACTTGACAATTGATCAAGAAGTCAGTAAGCATCGAAGTGGAGATTATCACTTTGCAACTGAGACCCTTGAAGTAGCTGCTCAATGAGATGTCACTAATTTCCCATTACTTTCTTTCTTGTATAAAGCCCATCAAAACGCTGATGATTTGTGTTCTTTCAAGTTCTGAGTGTCATCGTTGTCAAGTTCAAGAACTGAAGTCTCTTTGAATCTTAACCCACAAAGACTTATTTCTTTTTCATCGGAGATGAAGGATACCTGACAACATAGAGAATCCTAGTCGAGGACTGTCATCTTTAAATGTGACCAGTCTGTCCTCGTTCTTGCTATTTGTACTTTGCTGTTTCGAGTATCATGATCCATGAGCATTTGTTTGTTGAAACTTTGAATGACTACAAGAGGACCACAGTCATTCTGTCTCTGGGCATTGATATCATAAGCATCACCTTGACAAGTACCAGGGTATTGAGTAGGCAGACATTGTAGAATAATAATGCCGACATAAAGACATTAGGCTGCCAACCCATGCTTAACCAAGGGTACCTGGTATCTAGTGGGGGCGAAGTAGGATTAGTAGTCTAGTCACTGCTCGCGGCCCTTCCCCCAGAGAAAGATTCACTAATACGAAGAGCCGCCGCAAGAACCAACCTCTTCTCACTTGTCGACTCCAGCTTCTGTATTTAATCGCCTTTCTTCCCTGCTACATATTGCTACATACGGGAAATTCTATCAACTTTCAACAACACCAGGTCAGCCTTTTCCCCGGAAATCCTACAACTGCTCAAATACATCCAGCTTTCCACTGACTCCAACCCAGAATCATTGTCAGACTCCCCCGCCTTCGCGCCCCTCGCAACGTCTGCTGAGCGAGAGCTTTCCGACTTTCCATTCGAAACTATTATTAACGCGTTGGTTGCAGAAGATCAGATCACAATCTCGATACTACAAAGATTGTCAAAATGACCACTGTTACTCTCACAAGCTCCGATGGTGTTGACATCACGGTCGGTAAGTTGTCTCATCCTTCGAAGCCCTTAGTGTCCGGTACACGGATGATGAATGCACGCTGTCATTGCTTTATTTCACTTCCAATTCAATACTGATCATGTTGTCTTTCTGTAGACCGTGATGTTGCCGAACGATCGATTCTTATCAAGAACATGCTGGAGGATCTGGGCGAATCGGATGAGGCCATTCCTATTCCAAATGTGAGTTTGATTTGAACGCCTTTCCTCTTAGTGAGTGACTCCGTTCATTCTAACTCTATCCTTTTCGCAGGTCAACGAGGTTGTGCTGAAGAAGGTCATTGAATGGTGCACTCATCACAAGAACGACCCTCCCAGCACTGGTGATGACGATGACTCTCGCCGCAAGACTACCGATATCGATGAGTGGGATCAGAAGTTCATGCAGGTCGACCAGGAGATGTTGTTTGAAATCATCTTGGTATGTACCAGATTGTCGACCCTTCCCGCAGAAAATTGACTAAGATGCGAACCCTACAGGCTGCCAACTACCTCGATATCAAAGCTCTCTTGGATGTCGGCTGCAAGACTGTTGCGAACATGATTAAGGGCAAGTCCCCCGAAGAGATTCGCAAGACCTTCAACATTCAGAACGATTTCACTCCCGAGGAGGAGGATCAAATCCGCCGTGAGAACGAGTGGGCCGAGGAGTAAGCTTCACTTCTCTACTTGCATCGAATGGACCCATTGCTGACAAGGCTGATATTAGTCGCTAAATGCGTATCTGTTTTAACGTCATAAAGTCTCGGACTCTTTCTCTGGCGGTTGGGGGCAGCCACCTCGTATCGCAGTGAGTTTCATTGGTCTAAAGATAACTTCAGTCTACGGCGTTCGGCTTCCATAACTTTCTAGCGGTTGTTTGCTTCTTTACTGGCTGTTATCTTCGGGACTTGTCAGCCCGGGTTCGTTTTCGCTTCTTTCGAACAAATGGGCGAGGGTTCTGCTCTTATACCACTCAACGATTGTGTTGACTCGCTAGCTATTCATTTTCAAGTTGCTCAAAAATTTGATGGTCAACCAGGACCTGGAATGTGAATCTCTCTTCGGTCCCTGGACGCTCTGTTGATGAGTGCAGAGATCAAGCAGCATTGCCACTTACGGTAAAGAGTAGATCTGCAGACCCAACATGCCTCCTGCAAACTGCCAAGGGTGCGTTGTATACGTCAGCGTCGACAAAACTCTGGAAGTAGTCATCAAGGAAGTATCAGTGTGAATGCTGTTGCAGGAGCGCATCCTATCCATTCCTTTTCGTTCCACCCCGTCTACGCAGTAACAAGGGATCATTCCTTAATTGAGTAATATCGCCCATGCAAATGCCTCGTTCAACGATCATTACCCATCATGACTTTTCTTTTATTCTTGTTTAGCTCGTGTACATATTTGCAGATAATCCACATGTCCAGAGCCCGACACCGCTCGCATTTATGGAGTCTGTTCGACTTGCACCTTGCAACAGTTCGCATTTCGCCTTAAGATCCAGAGGGTAGAATTGCACCATTCGCATCGGAGCGGCCGGGCTAGACTAAAAGCAAAGCACGTGTGTTTCAAGATGAACCGACTTGTCATTCATTCAGATTGTTTTTGTTCCGAACAGAAACCGAGAGGTAAAAACATTGTAACAGCGGCGCGAGGTCCGAACGCACAGTAATCATCGCGAGCAAAATCTGCGGTATCACAATCGGACGAAACAACTGGGGACGGACATCTCGGTCGGAAAAGAAAAAGGATTTGCCTCGAGCTTAGATACCGAGACGGGTCTTGCGCCAGTGTCTCCGCTTGGCGTTGTATCTGGAGGAGAAGAGTACCCGTCAGCTGGTTCATTCTTCCTTTTATGTCCATGTAACCCCCGCGCAATGTTCCAAATCCATTCGTGTGATTTTCCTGGGGCGATTGTTGATGCGGGATGACAAGTTTGTCGTTGTGATCGAGGTCCGATTCAAGGAATTTCCCACCACCATTGCCTACGATGGACGGCTCCGGATTGTAGAAGAAAAAGAGTGTATTTACCTGATGGTGTTACCAGTCCTGAGACGAATCCACTGGGGAATAGGACGGTTCTGTCTCTGAGCTTTGGCAAGCTTCTGCTTGGTGCGGAAACTCTTGTGGCTCTATTCAACAAAAATCGACGTTAGCCAACTGTCACCTTGTCACCTCAACATCAAAGACGAATATCTCGGTTCATCGATGCGAGAGCAAGATAAATAAAAGTTCCAGCATCTTCAAATAACTCGGAATCGTAGGGGAGGACTGCTAACCGGCATCTTGAAGGCTTGTCGCGACGGCGAGCTGAGGGTATGGACTGGCGATAGTGAGGTTGTCGACCGTCTTCAAAGGGCCGATCGTAGTGGTTATTTTTTGTGTGGGCAGGGTTTAGCGGTTCGCTTCGGGTGGGTCATGTGATGTATGCCTGAGGCATACACACAGCTCCGTATTTCAATTCACTTCATGACCAGGGCCACATCTGATAGCGGTGATATGCAAGGACAGCCCCTTTGATTTTGATTAAATCAAAAGTTTCGACTATGATCATCCATGTCCTTAAATTATACATATAACCTCAGGGTCTCAGTTCGGGTCGTCCAACTCCGGTTTTCAACAAAATCCGCGCAGATCTAAATATGACTTCTCGACGTCTGCTCTCCTCGATCAAGAAATCAAGAATAACTCGAAATGTAGGAACATAAACTATTCCATGATTGTGGACAAACTCCATGCGGAAGATTAAGATCACGCAGTACTAGGTTCTGGCTGCATGAGGACTCAAGGCAGCGACAGTCGTCTGCATAAGTTTGCACGTAGTCATGACACAGTCAAGAGTCCCAATCTAGGCAACGTGATGAGTTGACTTGACTCATCCGAGAAGGAAGTTCCCAAGAGCAGTAGACGAGCTTACGACTACAAGCCTTATCCTTCATACGTGGCCCCCCAGCACTCACGCAACAGCGATCTGAGTAATGACTCAAGTAAAGGAATAGCAGAGCAGTAATTACAGATGGTGACTCCTTCAAATCAACCAGACAACACAGACAAACAAGCACGTATGGTTCGGTCTCACTTGTATTATTATTATGGAATCCACTCAGAACTTCCAATGGATGATGGACCATATGAGGCTACAAATGACCATGTAGTCTAGATCGTAGATGTCGGGCACACTCAGGCTCCAGGATTACGGGGCTGTTATGCAATCTACTTACGGAGTATGGAGGACCCGAGATTTGATCTTAGGTACTCCGTACTCCGTACTGTGTATGCCTTGCAAAATTGATGCTCTTCTGTCTTGAGAGTCTCAGTCGGACTTCGAGCAACGTCAAGAGGCTACGGATATTCCGAACCCCGACTTTGTGTCAACAGACTGTGGAAGGCCTGTGAAAAGAGAACAAATGCAAGTTGAAATCGACACACTCTTATTTACTCCGTACGGAGTAGCTTACTTCGCTTAAGGAGTTTTTTTTTGAGATCCGCCAATCAAGCGACGCTCTATGCGATTTCGCCTCCATAGAGGAGCACGTTCTCGGGGTTCGGGACTTATAGTTGCCGACCGGCGCCATCTTGAAATTGATACGGACCACCTCTCAGATAGATACCTTACTGCCTACGTATTGTTACTATGGTGCCTAGACGTGCGAGAAGATTGATCGGCAGCTCACCTACAGGCTACAGGCTCTCCGTTTACTAAAATCGGAGCCATCCAGATTTCTGCCTTCCGCATTCCTATCTCCATAGTGGACTGCGGGAATCAGC